GCAAATGCATACACCCCCTTCCTTCCATGATAACAAAAACAAAATAACAGTAATAAGAATTGCACCATAAGTGCAATTACTGAACCCAATTTAAGGCACAAGGTCTTCAGCCTGTTCCCAGATAAGGTTTAGTTGAATACATAATTTGGAGAGAATCTTTGATGAGAAATTACACAACATTATCTTTATGTTGGGTTGATTACCTTACTGTGATGTGGTAATTCTGTATAAGGGTAACGCCTCTTGTAATGATTTATTTGATCAAGAACCAATTTCTGTCATTTGCTTGTTCACCAAAGAGCAAAATATGCATTTGCACCCAAACTTTAATGGTGAAAAGTGTGTGCTCAATATTCTATATTTAGAAGAGTTCTGCTGAGTTGTTGCAAGTGTTGTGAAATTCACCACGTTAAAAGTTTCAAATTTTGACACATTTGAAATACATCTTTAAATAGTTTATAACCAGAAATCCATTTAGGAATTTCTGGCTTTGTCCCAGGCTGATTCTGAGTTTTATTTGAACTTTAATTTTCTTGACCTGCAATCCATTTGTTTCTTTCTTTCAAATTTATGTTGTGGTAAGTTATTCTTCAACAGTTATTGACTGAAACGTGATTTTTACAATCCAGTTGAGGAAGTGAATGCAAAAAAAGCATTGCACCAGCCCACAACACCCGCCCTCCTTCTTTACAAGCAATTGCCTTTGCTCAAAATAAATCACCCAGCTTCCTATATACAGTATACAGTACAGTAGTTTGTTCCAGAGGAAAAGTGAGATACCCCAACCCCTCAGGACACAGAAAAGCATCAGGCACAGGAAGCACAGCAAGCAGGGGGGACCCCCGAAGCTGGGCCAGAATAATGGGGTTGGATCCATTGAGAGGGGAAATTCCATTTCCTGGACTTTCCCGAGCCCGTGTAACGACTTGCTGCAAGTGAATTCCTGGCAGGAAGCCAGACATTGATCCATCCTGGCCTATGCAACACTCCCTTCCATTCGCATAGATATACATATGGAGGACAACGTAACATGCCACACCTTCCAGCGTCAGCCACGCCCTACTTTTTCATATATATATATTTTTAGCAGTCACTTATCTTCACTGACTTGAGTAGCAAGAGCGACATTCACATGAAAGCAAACATCTGCACAAGGGTTCAGGAGGAAGAGGGCAGAGAAAATTTTCAGAAATTGACTCGGAGGAAATTTCAGACTGTGCAAATTTGTAAAATTATACCACATCAACATACACACACCGGTCTGTGATTACAAATAACGGCATTTTTTTCAGTTATCATACGAGCAAATAAAATCACCTCAATGAGAATAATACAGTGGCTTATGCATGCTCATGTTGAAGCATCATGGATGAAAAAAAAAACAAAATGAAACCAAGAGGCAATTTCACTCCAATACCAAAACCAATATTTTTTTTTATTGTCGTAGCATTCAATTATATTCTCATTGAAGGTGGTTTCAATATTAATCCGACCAAGTTCTGCATATTTATAGAAAATTAAAAAATAATATCTGCATCAGGAAAACTGGATTCTGACCAGGACAATTTCTGTTGCCTCATTTTTCTGAGTACCAATACAAGTAAGACGAATATCCAGATTTTTTGCACGTAATTTGTCCAAAAACGTATTCCGACAACCCAGATTTTTTGGATGGGAAAATATGGAGGAATTCGTAACGGCGTAAACCTTGTAATATTGGAAAATCTAGCATAAATCATTGTTGTAGGATTGGTGCTGAACATAAATTCCTGCTCATTAACTACATCTACACTGACTCACTTACGACTTGCGGCAATGATTTTAATATTAGCTTGCAAAACACATTTACAGGACCTGCTGATCATACGAACCCTAATTTCCTGCTTATATTTTAAAGGAAAAATTTGTAAGTGGCCCTTGCATAAAAGCATTGCTTCTTCATAAAGTCTCGGCATTGAAAAGATTATCAACAAACCTTGATTTTAGAAATGTTTACAATGAATTTAAAGATTTGAGAGACTGATCAAGAAAGTTTCGAGTGGAAAGAATCGATTACATTAACAATCAACAAAATTGCATGAATATGCTGGTACGATATTTCCATGAATATCATTCATCAAAACCTGGAATGAAAACAAAATTACTTGGGATAAATGTGCTAAAGTATCCAAAAACAAATTGTTTATTGGTCCTAAAATATAAAACTCTCAAGTGATCAAGTGAGTCTGCAGTTCTCAAGTTTTTTGGAAAACCACAAGCGATTATTAAGAGGATTGCTTACTAACTGAACCAAAATTTCCGCATTTAATCTAATTTTTGGCACTTCATGTAGGAATGTAGGATGTACATAGAAATTTTAATCGGGGATCTGAAACAGATCAGTCATTCTATATAACATCACATTAATCGTTTTACAGGACTTCGTTATTTAGACCTGGAACCGATGCGTCTTTTTTATTTTTTATTTTATAAAATTTCAAGTAGACAATCATCAAGGCATCACTGATACAGTAGAACTTCGCAACAACGAACTATGGATTAAATAAAATAAAAATTAGGTCCCTGCCATTACCGAGATGCTATTCGAGCATTTTTACGACAAATTTCTTCGTTACAACGAAGCTCTTTGACTGGCCCCAATATGGGCTTCGTTGTAACAAGATTTTCCTACATAACCAGTCCGTTATCCGGTTTCTCGGCAGCATACTATATAACATGAAATATGGATCAGTCCAAGTGATGACAAAGCGGAAACTGGACATTGATCTACCGTAATAGTAGAGAAATACCGCAAACATGGAAGTGTTTTCCGTGCATTATTTACGAGCTGGAAATCCTTCCAGTGATTATAGCAATCAAAATTTATTACTATTCGAGCCAATCCCAAGCGGCAAAGAAATGATTTTTTAGCCATCCAGAAAACGTTTGGCATTATTTGAGTGAAACGATGCAACTTGGAAACTCAAAAGAAATTCATTATTCTTCCAAACAAGCCAAGAACGCTAAAAAAAAAACAAGTCAGAATATAATGAAATCTTAAAGTTCAACATTATTCATTGGATCCCTATTAATCCGGAAATGTATTTCAAAAACTAAGCAAATACACCCACAAAAACTTGACCAGACAGAATATGATGAAATCTTGAAGTTCAACATTATTCATTAGATCCCAATAAATCCGGAAACGTATTTCACAAAACTAAACAAAAACAGCAAAATACACAAAAAAAAGCTTGACCAGTCCGAATATGAAAAAAAAAACCACTATGTTCAGCCATATACGGTACTTAACTTCCTCCCTGAAAATTGACCTTCTCAAAATGATGAACTAATTATACACAAGCACGTGAGCATAATCTAAACTTTCTTTTTTTAATTTTTATTTAAAAGCATCTCAAAAGAAGAAGTAAAGTGTAAAAAAAAAAAACGCTCAGTTTTCGCACTACAGCCAAGTCATTGTAACTTATTCTCGGCTAACGTTTCAAAAAGTTGTTCCTTGCAATGAATAACTAGATTTTCCTTATTTTTAACATGAGCTTTCCATGTGGTTTTCATCCATGTCTCGACTGGAATACTGTATTGTACGTAGTTTTTGACTGCAAGCCTATTTAAATAACGGGACTGTTTTCGAATAAGAATGAGTCTGTTTCATAAAAGAGGGGGAAACTTGCAATAATTCATCTAAATTCTAAACGAATATAATTCAAAATTTTAAAAATCGAGATGGCAAGAATATGATTCTTGGCTTCTTTTGCAACTTTTTAGAGATATACCGTGCGTCGGAAACAGAATCAAGACCTAAAAAAAATGAATGGAATCGCATCTTTTCAGATTTTAATTTTCAAGGCGCAAAATTAAAACGTGGATATTAATTATCATCGAAGGCGGTTTATATTCGAGTCAATATATATATGACACTTGCAGCAGCATTTCAAGCTTTAAAACAAGTCTCGCAAAAATTCGTCCTTCTCTCTCTCTCTCTCAAAAAATAAAATATATTGCAACAATCCTCCGGAGAAAGAATAACGGCTTCACGCTGCATTAATTGCGCATGCAGTTTTCAGCAAAAAATAAAAAATAATAAAACTGCTCGCTCTCGAATCATTGCTCCCCGTTATATTTCTCAGGACGTCAGAAACTCCCCCCCCGGAGAACAATTCAGGCCTCAACACACCAGGACCATCACACACACAATGCAAAGTACAATACAGTACACTGCAACACACCAAGCAGCAGCAGCAGCAGCAGCAGAAACCGGTTCACGCTTGACTCGCCAAAAGCATTCGCACACGGATGTGAGGGTGATGGCACAAGTTCCAGCCCCGCAAAAAATAAAAAATAAAATAAAAGTACAAAAGGCACGAGAGACAGGCTCCCTGGGATGATTGACTCTCTCCCGTCTTCTCGCAGCCTCCGGGCACGTGTCTGCTGCTACTGCTGCTCAGTGTGTGTGTGTGTGTGTGTGTGGCAAAAACACTGACTTCAACAACAACCCGACATCGACATCGTCGTCGGTCGAGAGTCGACAACAAAAACTCGGGATTCATGATCCGCAACGGCTGCAATAAACACGTTGTGCATAACGGTGAAAGAGGACTTTGACGAAGAAGACAAAAAGAAGAAGAAAGAATGAAGGGATAGACACGCGTTGCTGGTTATTGTTGCTTCTTCTTTCCAAGCATGAATGAAAGAAAAAAAGAAACCCCTCCATCATTGCAGCAGTGTGATCAACTGTGAGATTTATTGAGAGTTTTTTTCTTCTCTCTCCTTATAGCGAATTAGAGAGAGAGAGAGAGAGAGAGGAAGTCAATCATTTATAACTCGCTGCCTATCTTCTTATTATTATTTTTTTAATCCAAGCCCTTATTGTTCAACTTCTTATTTCATATTCATTCACGACAGGCAGGTCACGTGTTTTCGAGGATGCCTGAATGATGGATCTTGTTCATGTTGTTCATGTGTATTCTTGGCTCAATAAAAAATGCAATCCTTTTGCTTGCAGAAAATATGCACAAGTTTTTTTTCATTGAAACTAAAAACAAGCACTCCTGAGTCTAGAAATCTAGATTTAAAATTTCTTTTTTTGTCCACGAGTAATAAAGAAAAAAGGTAAAATATTGGATGCGTTATTACCGGAGAATTTCGACACAGAAGTGTATGTCCTACTTGTACGTACCAATTTGGGACACGTGTGATTACATTCAAAATCTAAATTGTATCAACTATAAATTCTGCATGGAAATGGCGGCGCTTTCATTTTCTTCCAATAATCAACTTATTGGAAAAAAATGAAAGCGCCGCCTTTTTGCAGGTATGTCTGTCTTTTCAATAAGATTTTTGAAATTCAGAACAAATTCTATAAAAACCGGATATCTTAAACAGGAAAACGTGATACAGTATTTTAATAAATAGAGAGTCTAAAATTGTCTTTGAATAGGGAATGTGCGATTTTTAAAAAAAACCCAAGCTACTTATACCGGCGTAGTTATAGAGCCTATAAGATAAAGTAAGAGGTGCTTACAAGTACGTAAGAGTTATTATAGATTCCATTTAACTTCTATAAAAAAATCGGAAAAAATCTTCATATAGTTTAATTCTAAGAATAAAACTAATAAATGGAGGACCATTATGGTTACCTTGATTCCAATCGATGACATGATGAATTCAGTGATTCGCATTCCAAAATTACCGTAAACTGTATTTAGATCCCTTCAAAAATTTTGCAAAGTTCAATTCACACAAAAGAAAACCTGACAATCGTACATTTGAGAAAAAAATATTTTTTACGCTTTTAATGTAACAATTTCTTCACTCGGTGGATATAAAAATGCAGTTTCCTTTGATACCTTTTTTTAATTCCGTCTAAATTTCAAGTAAATCTCCGATTTAAGAACAACAAAACGCCGTGGAACCATCATGAGAAATGCCCTGTTGACATGCTGTACCAAAAAGAAAATAATAATCTGCTAAAACGTCTTGCATTGAAAGATTTTTCAATCCTCAATAAATAATTGATCCTTACATGTACTTCTCGTCACACCTTGAATTCTCCCTCTCTTTTCTTGGAAGAAACGTGGATAAATACTCGATAATTAAAAAATTAAGCACCCAAAGTCACAAATACTAGAATAATTTTATGTTAATTATATCATGAAGGGACGTCAGGGAATTTTCAAAAAGAAAAAAAAGACCGAAACATAGCATAAACCCTCAATCCAATGTTTAACTTAGTTTTTGAAAAAAACCTCCCTCTGATCCTCATTCGCATTCAACAACAAAAAAAGATTACACTCAGATCCCACCTTTATTGCGCAATATAAAAAGATCGCGTGGGAATTTCTAGGTGGGAAGTTTCCAGCTATAATAAACCAGCCCCTCCTCTCCTCCAACAAACCGCACCAACAATTGAACAAAATTAAATAAAATAAATAAAAAAGTTTACAATTCCCCAGTTCAGTTTTTTTTCCTTTTTTTTACAGCTCTTATCAAAGAACACTCAACAACCCCCAATCGCGGATAACAATCGTCAAGACCCTGCACACACATCATCATCCTCAATTCATCGACAAAACATGAACTTACAACATGCACATCAGAAGATAAAAGTGGGGGGAGGGGGGGCACACAACCCCCAAACCCCTTGGATGAAACATTTCCAGGGGGGTGTGGGGGGGAGGGGGTAAAAGAAGAGAGAGAGAGAGAGAAAAAAGGATGAGTGCAGCAAAAGCAGCAATTAAGAATTCCCCCCCTTATTGATGGGTCCCCTCTTCTATATATAACGCGTGGCGTCCCTGGGATGAGCCGGCAATCAGCGCCTCTCTCTCTAACCCGCACTTCTCATGAATCAACGCAAATGGCGGCGGTCACGTGGCGGCTGCATCAGGCAACGGGTTGCGGTTTTTCGCCCCGAACCTCGTTGCCCTTTTTTTCGGGGGGTTAATGAAATCTCTCTCTCCTTTCTGGGCCGGGGGGTTTGTGGAAAAATAAGTCACGAGAGAGAGAGGAAGGCACTTGCTTGTTGCATAAACAGGCTCATTATATACACGGACTCGGATGCTGCTGTATTTGTAAGTGGCTGAATGAATGACTGGTGAATGAGTGTGCAGATTTGCTCGGGTTCTCTCTCTCTATATATATATATAACCGTGATGCTCATCATCTATATGGAGACATCATTCATCTTATCGGTAATGACTCAATCACATCTTTTTCCCCCCTTCACGACTCTTCATGTGTCTCGTTATCTTATTCGGAAACCAGCGAGGAAGACATATTTTCTTTACTGTTAAATACCACTATTAAAATGAGGACTTCGTTATTTAACAGAATTGAAACTGACGGAAAAATATAGGTTATCTAAGTCTAAGCGTGAAATTACGACCATTCGCTGATGGTTTTCCGCAAAAAAAAATGTGAATACGGTACAGGCATGAAAACGAAAAGATTCGCAAATTTCCTTTGATCATCGAGACCTTTAGAGATTGCAATTTTTGTCACCGTATTTCTTGTCCCCGATTTTTCACCGTAAAGAAAAAGTGCCTCACAAGCATTCAAAGATGGACCACATAGCAGAAAGTTTCGTTATATAGCCTAGAGTTGGTACAGTAGTCAGTATAGAAGGGACTGAATACTTACGGTGTGTAGGACTAAGAACCGAAAAGGTTGAAGATATAGAGTTCTTTCTTTTTTTTTTGCTGTTTTTGACATTTCTCAGTCCAACAGTACATGCATTCATCATTCATTCATTCATTCATTCATTCGTCCATTCATCTCCCAACTCAATGCGATGAGCTAAAAAAAAGAAAAAAGAAAAGCAACCATCAGCAAGACAGCTAATAAGGAGAAAAAGATTCTCACAGTACGAACACATATATGAGGAAATGCGCTAAAGTTTTTGCGTTTTTCTCTGCCACATTGAAAAGAGAATAAAACATATTTTTTGTCTTTGCGGAGATAGATGCATTAATACTTCAAATGTAGGATGTAATGCAGTGCAGTAAAAGCAATATTTTCTACAATGCAATGGAAATATTTCATATAAATGAAAGTTTTTTTCCAAAAGAAAAAAATTAGCTGTAATAGAAACAAATTTTCGGCTCTTATTCGGAGCAATTTTAGACATGCAGTACTGTATAACGAATTTCAGACAAAATTAATATTCAACTTCGCTT